TTGCAACAGTGAAAGTCAGGGGAAGTTTAAGATGGCCAGGGAGGAGTAAATAGTGAGGATTAAATAGTCAGGTCAAAAAGGAGGAGACTGAAGTACAAATCTTGGTCACCTTCCCCTCCTGTCACATCCCTGAATTCTACAAAGGTAGAGGTGAGGGGAAAGACTGTGGGAAGACTTCCAATAATTGATTCAGTTGCCATCCTCCTTGCATTATGTTCCGAGTTTCACAGCCTATTACCACAGGCAATCCTTTACCATCTTACTAAAGATTAAAAGCTATGGCTTGCATCTAAGCAAGTGAAATGCCCGGTCACAATCTCAGAAATATTCTGGGAAATAGATCATTGTTGTCATGATTGGTTTTCAAAGTCTTGGAAATACATATGCTTGCTTGAGTTAAGGCAAACCACTTCACTCCAACACTGATGGGTGTTTTGCAAAGACCAAGCCCACCTTTTAATCTACTTGTACAAAGCAGGGGAGGGCAAACATACCAATCCCTCAGTGGCTATTTTTCTTCCTATGCAGGAGGATTAAAATAGGTTAAATTATATTGCCCTTCAAGATGCTAAAAGGTTGAGCAATTTTCTTTAAACATCCATCCAACTCAGGAGGGACCATAAATGGTGTTGCATTTGTAATCTCTTGAGGCAGGAATTGTGTCTTATCTGTGCTGACAAGCCTGTCTGTTCACTACAAGAAACAATCACAGCTTATCTGTTCCTTTAGCATCTTCCTACTGAACAGTTACTTATTATAGAATTCCTTAAATGCCCCACTTTATTGTACATCAAGGTTATAAGACTGATAGCATAACTATCTGCTCTAATAATACTTAAGTTTTTATTAACTGTTTAAGCCAAATTTATGGCAGAGGAAAAAAATGACATGTCCTCTGTACTGTACTCAACAGCTTACATGGCACCTTCTGATTAGGCTAGAAAAGGTTTCAAGAACTTCTTTCTACCTACCTTTGCAGTTAATCTGTTCCAGTGCCAGACAGTAAAGAGAACTTTAAAACCCAACAACTTCATGGTCTAAGATAAGAGGGTCTAGAGTAGTTAGATACCAGAAAACTTAGGGCTTCCAAACTATGACCATCAGTTTGGACCCAACTCAAGTTCAGAGAGCTTCCACAGATGTGACCTTCTTCAGGCAGGCTGATGAGAATAGTGCAGTTAATGCCTTTTTTTTTTTTTCTTCCCCCCTCCCCTTCCTCCTCCTCCCAAATTGGTTAAGGTATCACTAGGTAACTCAAGTTCACCCAAAGGGTTCCAAACTTGACTGCAGACATGTCTCTTGGGCATTTGTACTTTTTCCTAGAGTTCTGGCATATACCACTAATACATGAAGGTAAGTGTATGCAGAGAATCTGTGCCAATATGAACAAACATCTTGGCAAGCTCAAGTCAACTGCCAATCAGCTCTTAATATACAGCTAGATGCTCCTCCATCTCAAGAACTCACGTAACCCTGAAACAGTTAATTCTGAGTGGATCTCATGTAACTCACACCTGGAAGTGACACAAATGACAGCTGTAGTACAAAAGAGGATGCTTTGCATTTTCTCAGGCAGTGGATAACGCTTTTGCTTTCTACCCAAATCCAACAAAAAGCAGTTGCAGCTGCTCTTATTTTCTCGCTCAAGTATAGATTTCGTCCAGTACCCATTTTCAGGGTCAAGCATTTATCACACTAGGAAAACTAGACTGCTTTGCAGAAAATATGTGCTTAGAAAAATTACCTAAATTATTAAAGCTAAGGCTTTGATGCTTTTGGGCTTAACCCTGCTGTTTAAACAAATGACCAAGGACAAGACTAAAACCTGTTTTTTAATCAGTAGCTGAAATGTAAAACCATTTTGCTGGCTACATTGAAGACAATAACTGCGGTCTCCAGAGGCAGAGGTATTTTAATCAAAATTGTCACTTTCACCCTTCCAACTGCTAGTTAGAATTACAGATTTCAGTATGCAAATTAGGTCAAAAGTATTTGTTGAGAGGTTGGGGGGTGTGTTTACATTTGTCACTTCACAGACTTTCTTTTGAAACCTCTTAAATTAGAATGTCATAAATATTCATCTTTGCATCAAAAGGAAGATTTTAATTTTTTGGAAAGGTCACACTTGAGAACTTACGATGACACTGAGCCAGAGCACATAGGACTAGAAAATAGGAGACAGGAATAGTATTTAGTGAAGTCACCCTACTGTAAAAGATGAAGGAATAAAGAAGGCTCTTTACCGCTCTGCCAGCTCCCAATCTTCTTGAATCTGTTTCTGCCTGGCCTTATGGTATTCCTCTCTCCAGCACTTGGAGCAAAATCCCTGCCAAGCAGGATTGCCATAGTAACCACAACCCTTCTTGCACAGTAGCTCTGACTGATCAACGTGAATTCCTCTGCGTTCAGATTTCAGGTTCATTTTCCTCCTGTTTAAAGAGAAAAGGATGAAAGACAGAAACATGGTAACAGCCTGCTAGAAATAATTTCTTTTGAAGGTTTGCCTTTCAGAAAGAAGTCAGCTGTTCTAATTATTTAATAGTTCCATAGCAACAAAATAAAGGCCACCGGAGGAAGGGCACAGTTGTATAACCATACAGCCCCGAAAGCCAACTGCAGCATTAGCACATGTTTGCATAGCTTTGACCTGCAAACAGTACTAGACAGCTGGCCTAAAAAGCAGGCAGCAGTACCAGTCATACAGCTGCCTACACATGTGGAAAAAGGCACAAGTCTGATCTCACCAGCACATTGTTCTAACAGTCGCAGAGGCACAAAGCAACGGAGGAAAAAAGAAATATAGGAAGTTACAATCACCAATGAAGGAAGCAAACTGAGTAAGAGACAAAATGTAAATAGGTTTGTATTCAGGCTGAGACAGTCTCTGCAAAGAATCACACTGGTGAGACTTTAGGTAACATACCTTTGGCCTCACAGAGTATGTCTTCACAGCACAGTGAAGTATCACAGCTAACCCAGCAGGGTACATGGACATGGATGAGGTGCATCTCCATTTCCTTCAGTACTCAGGTCACTTCCGAGTTAAGTCGAGCATCTGTGTACAGCAGAGCTCTATAGAACTTATACAGAGTGACTGCAACAACAGATTTATTCTCATGCCTGCACCACCACCGTGCAGAGCCTGTCTTCCAACTATCCAGCCCTTCCCTCTCTTTCCTTGCTTGACAGAAACCGTCCCACATGCCAGCTTGCTCCCAAGGGCATTTCAACTACTTTGTTCCAATTCCAAAAGCTGGATTCATTTTAGGAGAAAAGCAGCGCAGGATCACCTGCATTAGCAAGTTTAAAATCTGCATATTAAAATACTGACATTTGGATTGCAATACTGACGTACACAGACACTAGAAACATTACAGCAAGGCACTGGAAAGCAGGTCTCGGTCACCAAATCCAGCCTCTTTTTCTTCCTGCGATGCTCAGCAGAAAGTGCTTTGCATAAGCTGAGCAAGCACCTTACCAATTCTGTTTCTCGCTCTCAGATTCGTAACCAAAGGTGTCCCTAGGACTTCCTTCCTCTAACAGGAAAACCAGAAGATTTTTAAACCAACATTGCCCTGCAGTTTGAAGACCCTGCCCTCCCCTCCCGCACATTACTTAAGATCACACAAGGAAAACAGAACACACATTGAGAGGTGATGTATGGAAAGCAAGATGAGAAGCGATTTTCTTATATTGAAGAATGTCAGTGACTGTCAGATTAATCTCGCTTTTCCCCAAGATTCATAATGACCCCTAAGTTCATACGTTTGAGGAATCTGGATCTCTGGTTGTTCATGTTTCTGCCCAGCAAAGGTTACTCAGCCCTGGAAGCTCTTGCACTCAACAACCTCAGAAAGAGCCCCAAACTCTTCTCTGGGTCATCCAGCAGAACGGATGTGGTATGTACAACTGTCAGTATCAAAGATAGTTTTCTACTATAGGAAGTAACAGTTAGTTTGTTCCAAGCGGAATTATAGAAGATCAGTCATTTTAAAAGACTGAAAATGTTTAACATTTCCCATTAATCTAAACAAGTTATTTTAAGGAAAGTAATGGGAAACACACATGATTTTCTCTGAGGGGGGAACAAATCGAATATTCCATCTTATCTATGTAAGAATTAAGGCTCCTTCCACTAAAATCTTTTCTACCTTTGAAAGAAGTAATGAATTTCTAAAAATAATCTAGAAATAGTTTCATTGTAGAGACCTTTATATTAAGGGAATCAGTGAAGTTTATAAAGACACATTATTTCATTTATATAGAGATGGACAGCAGCTGAATACTCTTTTTTTCAGGAATGTCTGACAGTTAAACAGACATTAATACGCTTCTGCGAAGCAAAATGAAAAAAACAACTAGATTTTAAATATTTGAGAGCGCTTTACTTCATTCCCATATGGACAAATTATCAGAGGAAAATAAGTACATTGCCTTCACAAAAATGTTTTGGTTTCTCTACTATCTCCATTTTCTGATTCCTCAAGTAAGGTCTTTATGTTGACTATAATGGTACACAGATCTGCTGACCGACAATCTAGAAGACGAGAAATTAAACATCAAATGTTTGTCAACTGCACAGCCTGGAGGAAAACTGCATGTTGGCAGTATTTAGAAACACAGCTCATTCTCAGAGCATCTCACATGCCCTTTATCACCAATTCTGAAAAGAACAGGGAAGCAAAAGCTTGAAACTCTTCAGTTCTTCCTGATCCAGTTTAAAGACCGCTTCCTAAAAACAGAAGCTGCAGCAGCATTTTGATTCGAGACTTCTACTGCAGGCGCCTGTACTAGAAAAAACCACCATGCATAAAATTTTCAATATTGCCATTAATGGTAAAGCTGATCAGTCTGAATGTTTTCACTGTAAACTCCAGGGAGCTATAAAGACAAAACAGATAAAAACGTTTTGATAACATAAACTTCAGAGAAATTTTACACCGGTCTCTATTACTCAAGGAAATGACATCCCTGATCCCATCACCCACTATAATGGAGTACGCGACCACATTTTGCTACTGCAGTCCGTAGGCCAATTTCATGAATTCAGGTGTCGGTTTTTCTTATTCAAAAGCATCGTGCTTCAGACACCACGATTTTTTGAAAACTAAAGGAGTAGAATGAAACACATGACCTTGCTTCTATCCCACATCAACATCTTGCTTTCTGAAAGCTTAACAGCCTACTCAGTTTCTATGCCACTTGTGCACTTTCACTATCTCTACACAGACACACAAAAACCAGCTTTCTGAGCTTTAACCCCATACTAGAGCCACAATTACCTTTGGCGCCCTGCTAGCCCTTTGTATACACCAGAACTAAAAATAAGGTTCTGTTTAGTGTCAAAGTTCAGCAGATTTCCGTGGAATAAGCAAAGCAAGTCTCTTTACAAGCCTTTCTTTCAAGAGAGGCTTGTAAACAGCTGCAAAGCCAAGCCACTAGAAAACAAGTTGTTCTGTTTCCTCCCCTTCAAGTATTTTCAATTGCAGTTATATCAGTTTCAGATCCAGGGACAAAAGAGGTCACCCTGAATCAATATGAAGAAATCACATGCTGCACTTAAAAGCACAGGCTTTCTGCTTCCTTTAAAAACATATGGCCATTACAAAAAAGTTTCACAGCCAATTTTTGCAGGTCAGAATTTACATTTTAATGAACAGAACAACTCAACAAGTTTTAATAAACTGAATATGAAAACCCCATCTCAGGTCAACTTTCCGCAACTAAATCACTGTGTATGTTATGATCTTCTATTCCTAAAAATGTTTTGTTGGAACTTTTGAGTGTCAAAAATGCTTTTTTCCTTTCTCTACTCCCTTCTCTTCATCCCCCTCCAGCTAAAGATGTATCATTCTTTATTCAAAGATCAGCTCCTCAATGTATTTGCACAGTCACACCATTCATTTTGCATGGTCAGACCTCTTATTTTTCATTCATGTCCCAAATGCATGACTTGTTCAAAGCTCACTTCTGAGTAATATAATCCAAAAGAAAGAACAAATTTGTTGTTTTCCTGGAGTTGCAGAGGTAGGTGACTCTGAACAGCTTTCATACTGCCTGACTACTGAGAAATCAGGAAACTAATAGTAAGGAAGGTAACAAAATTCAACATTAAAAAACATAATAAAAAACATCTAATCAAGGACAATAAAGTAGTAAAAGATCATAAATAAAATTAACTAGTACAATTTGGAGAAGTGCACTGCACCAAACACGCTTTTTATATCTCCTGTATCCCAATTAAAATGCTTCTCAACCACTTCAAGAAGCACCACGTCTCCTGCCCAAGAGCAAACGCCTGTAATTTAAAGTATACTCATACATTGCTTTACTTAGTAAGTGCTTCAAATAGCTCTGCTGTGAATATCATCAGGGAAAGCAGAAATGACACTTCCTTACACATCTACTCACAAGTACCAGGATACAGAATCTTCTTTTAAGCATTTCTGTACCAATACTAAGCTTCATCAAAGGTTAATATCGATGTTAATTAGCAGCACCCCTTTGAAAAGGTTAGAAAAAGAACAGGCTCTTAGACTTAGTTATTAACTTATAAAATCCCTTTCCCCTTGTTACTTATTTGCAAGTAAAACTCTCATTTCCTTCTGAAATGGAAAAATGGAAAACACTCAACCCCTTTCTATGATCACGATCTTTAAACTCCACCTAGCACCCCGTGCGTGTGGTTCCCTGGATGATCACCGCTAACACGTGCTGTTAGGTCATGGCTGCAAAAGTGGATTTGTTCTGGACAATTGCAACACGGAGAACCGTCCCATTGCTGGCAATCAGCGTATTTGTACCACAGCTAACAGAGGATTAGACTGTACGGACACCAAAGAGCTCCTTGTCTTGCTGCTACAGGCATTCCCAGGCCGGTACCCACCCGGTCTGACAGCATACTAACTCCGAGCGACAGCATCAGCTGCCCACGGCTACATCTTTCTGTGCTGTTCTAGATGTCGAGCTTTATTTGTCCAAACCGGAGTGATATCAAGAGCAAACGAATACTTGTGCACGATTGGTAAATGAGGCATGCAATACACATTATGTTAGATATATTTGAAGGGTTGTGCATCAAAGGTCTCTAATGACAGGTCAGATCTCCTTCTGTAGCTTTTCCAAAACTGTCTTAGAATATTTTGTTTTGTTACAGTGTCTAGTTGTGGAAAAAAAAAAGCCCACTGTGGTTTAATTCAAAATCAGTTTTTTACTTGCTTTAACATAATTCATTCCGGAGCTCTCAAATACATCTTCCTGTCAACACATTTTTCTTGTTGTACCTAGACTTATCTAATTTTTTTCTTTTTATCCAGTAGTATTTTGAGCACCCATTTACTTAGAGCAAATACTTTTTTAAAAGTGCAATACAAACTCAGAGGTTTCTCATCCCTTGCTCACACCCCTAGATTCTACCTGTCA